GGGGCCAGCGCCGGCGCCTGCGGCGGTAGGCGGCGGCGGCGGGGAGCGTCGACGAGGGCGACGGTGGTGGTGGTGGTGGTGGTGGGTTGTGGTGTGGTGGTGGTGGTGGCGGTGGTGGTGGTTGTGGTGGTGGTGTGGTGGTTTGTTGTGGTGGTGGTTGTGGTGGTGGTGTGGTGGTGGTGGTGGTGTGGTGGTGGTTTGTGGTGCTGGTGGTGGTTTGTTGTGGTGGTGGTGGTTGTGGTGGTGGGTGGTGGTGGTGGTGTGGTGGTGGTTTTGTGGTCCTGGTGGTGGTGGGTTGTGGTGGTGGCAGTGGTTTGTGGAGGTGGTGCTGGTGGGGGTGGTGCTGGCGGTGGTGGTGGTGGTGGTGGTGGTTTGTGGTGGTGGTGGTGGTGGTGGTGGGTTGTGTTGCTGGTAGTGGTGGTGGTGACGGCGGTGGTGGTGGGTGGTGTGGTGGCGGTTGTGGTGGTGGTGGTGGTGGCGTGTTTGGTTGTGGTTGGTGGTGGTGGGGTGGTGGTGGTGGTGGTGGTGGTGGTGGTAGTGGTGGTGGTGGTAATCGTCGCTGCGTCCCCGCCTTCGCCGGCGCCGGCGCTGGCGCTGCTGGCCGCCGCCAGCGCCAGCGCCAGCGCCGGCTCGGCGGGGGGTCCAAACCCCCTCCTGGGCTGCCTCTGGTCATCGTCGCTGCGTCCCCGCCGTCAGCGATGCTGGCGGCCGCCAGCGCCGGCGCCGGCGCCGGCGCCTGGCGGGGGAGGGGGTTGAAAGCCCCCTCTCTTGGAAGGGGGGGGGGTCGGAATTGAGGGGGGGTTGGGGGGGAGGGGAGCCCCCCTGGTTCTGATCGACGGCGCCGAGTGTTGGGGGGGGGCCACCCCATGGTTCGAAACGCGCCGCCAGCCGAATGTTTCTAAGGCAAGCGCCCGTGAAACGCGCTCTCTCAAACGTAAGGATCGTCACTCTCACGCCTCGCAGTTGGATTCTTCATCGGTGCTCCTCGAGGAACATTTATCCGCGGGGGGGGCTGGTAACGTCACGATTCGCGCCAGCACCGTTCGGGAATGCTTAGGAATGGTTGGTTCCCAGACGGCGCCGACACGAATCGTGACGTGACCAAGGGTGAGAGGAGACTTGCTTTAGCGAGGATTCCTGGGGGATTTCTCCGATCCTAGAGAACTCTCGACGATTCTTGGAGGATGCCTGGCGGTTCCTGGAGGATTTGGGGGTGCTCAGTAAGGATCCTCTGGGATACCTGAAAGATTGTTGGGGGTTCCTGCAGCATTACCAAAATGTGATTTGGGGATTGCCAGGGAATGGTTGAGGATTCCTTGAAGAGTCTTAAGGATTCCCGAAGGACTCTTCAGGATTCCTGAAGCATTCTTGAGGATCCCAGAACGATTCTTAGGATGTCGGAAGGATTCCAGGTTCCAGAGGATCCCCGAAGAATTCTTGAGGATCCTTCAAGAATTCTTGAGGATTCTCGAGGATTCGCGGAGGATTTTTTCTAGGAATATTGAGGATTCCTGTGGACTCCTGAGCGATTCTTGCAGATCCCTGAGGGATTTCTAGTAGATTGATGACGGGTAAATTGTCGCTTATTTGGAGGATTCCTGATGGATTCCCGTCGGATCCCCGAAGGATTCCTGAGGGATTCTGGATTTTATCCAGAGGGAGGGACCCTGGAGGGATTCCAGAAAGACTCTTGCGGATTCCTGAGGGACTTTGGAGGGATTCCTGAGGGACTCTTGCGGATCCCAGAGGATTCCAGGGGGATTCTTAAGGATTCCCGAAGGATTCTTGAGGGTTCCTGAAGGCCGCTTGAGAATCCCTGAAAGGTTCTCGAGGATTCCTGAAAGATTATTGAGGATTGTTGGAATATGTTCGAGGATTCACGAGGATGATTGAAGGACTCTTGAGGATACCTGATGAATCCAAAACGGATGTTTGACGAATTATTGGCGACATGTTGTAGGTTTTCTGAGGGAGTCTGGAGGGACCCTTGAGGGACCCTGGAGGGATTATTGAGGTACTCTTGCGGTTCTTGAGGGACTCTGGAAAGACTCCTGGGTCCGGAGTCTTCCTGAAGGATTCTCGAGGATTCTTGAGGGGCTCTTGCGTTCGACATTCCTCATGCGTTCTTCGTCGTGGTCGCGCTGTCAGTCGTCCGTCGTCAGTGGTCCATCGTCGTCATGCCCTCTCTCTCATGCCCTCTCTCTCTGAAGGAGGGGCAAGGAGGGGGATGAGGACACTGTGATGGTGATGATGATGAGGATGAAGAAAATGATGATGATGCTGATGATGATGTTGATAATGATGATGATGCTGATGCCGATGCCGATATCGATGCTGATGCTGATGCTGCTGAGGATTCTGGTGATGGTGATTATGATGAGACTTGTGATGTTGGTGCGAAGGACGGTGTTGATGACGTTTGGGATAAGGAGGGCTAAGCGGGGCATGAGGGGAGCAGGGGGATGGCGATTCAGGGGGAAGCTGAGGAGAGGTTGGAGGAAATTGAGGGGCACTAAGAAGGAGAAGCAGAGGGGGGATAGAGCATGAGTGCGAGGATGATGATGATGATGATGATGATGATGATGAGGATGAGGATGAGGATGAGGATGAGGATGAGGATGAGGATGATGATGATGATGATGATGATGATGATGATGACAGTGATTATGATTGTGGTGATGCTGATGCTGCTGCTGATGGTGATGGTGATGCTGATGCTGATGCTGATGATGATGATGATGATGATGATGATCATGATCATGATCATGATCATGATCATGATGATGATGATGATGATGATGATGATGATGATGATGATGATGACGATGACGATGATGATGGTGATGATGATGATGATGATGATGATGATGATGATGATGATGATGATGATGATGATGATGATGATGGCGAACAGTCGGCGGTCGGACGGATCGCAACCGCTTTTTCAGATTCCCGTCAGGGGGCTCAAGGGAGCTCGCTGCATCCAGAAACACTCTTATGATCTCTCCACCTTTCTGAAGCGCCCCCTAAACGTCGCGACCTTCTTGGACCGATCGCAACTGGTTCCGATCGGTCCGAAGTGGTTGACGATTGGTCCGAGGTGGTTGCGATCGGTCGTGCTCGCGGGGTGGGGGTAAGGAGCGGGAGTGGGGCCAGTCATGGGCGCGAATAGTAAGAATAGGCTCAAGGATCCCGCCAGTTTCTGGAGGCATCTTAAGGGTTCGCGAGGATCCCTAAGGGTTCTTCAGGAAAGGTTCCAAAGGATTTCTCAAGGATTCCGAGGATTTCTGCGACGTCTGCCACGCCCACGACGCGCACGACACATGGCACCGAAGACGACGACTGACGACGACCACCTTCGACTGACGAGCGACGACGACGACGAGAGCGTTCAGCGATTCGAGACCGACGACGGCCACGGACCACGAGCTCTGACGACGACCGACGTCGACGACGAGTGACGACGCAGCACGGCGACGAAGCACCGTGGCGACGGCGAGCGAAAACGATCCCGACGCGTGCCGACCATCACGACGACGCGCGACCGACGGCCGACGACAACGAATTGAAGGCAGCGACGACGACGAGCGACGGCGATGAACTACGTCGACGACGAGCGAAGACTCACCAGGCGACAGCGATGGGCGACAAGATCACCACACTCGACGACGACGACGGCAGCGATAACATGGCCCGACGACCAGCGAACAACGGCGACGATCGACGACGACGCCCTCACTCCAGATCCCCAGATCCGGTGTACTTTGGGCGATTTCGCAAGTAGGGTAGAAATTTCCGCCCTAGCTTTGATACCGATTTCTGCCCTACCTTGCCGTCGCTTTTCCTGCCATGCTCTTGCGGAAATGTCTGCCCTAGGCGGAAATTTCCGTCCTTATTTTCTGCATCGTTTGGGGTGCATTTCCGACAAAAGTCTGAGTCGGAAAATCAACCAAAGTGCTGTCGGACCGAGGTATAAGATCGAGGTCGGCGCGGGGAAGTTACCCTCGTGTTAGTGATGCTTGTTGCATGCTCTTGTGCATCCTGGGGGAGGGCACCCTCGAATATTCTTCAGTCTGGCTGGCGGAGGGTCTCGTGTTCTTGAAGGATGTTATCATGTCTTAGGTCCGACCGTACTGTGGATTCGGAGTCAAGTCGGGCGACCAACTAGCTCCCTGGCGGCCTCCCTTCGGGCGTTGGCAGAACGCCCACCCAGTTCACTCGATTTTGGGGTTTGTCGGACGGGGCCAAGACGAGGATGAAATCCGTTCCAGAGCGTTCTGGAACGCTCTCAGAGCGTTCCAGAACGCTCTGAGAAGGCTTGGCGCCCGAGACATCTTTCAGAGCCGCCGGATCTCAGAGATTCTCGGTTTATCCTGGCACGATTTTATCCTCGTCCTGGTTTCGTCTTAGTTGGAGTGTGCTGGTGCAGTCCGCAGTCGATTTCGCTAATCGACGTGCGCTTCGCCAGACACGTTCGCTTGCTTCTGGACGTCGGTTAGCTACCCAGCTGGGGTCCACTCGGAGTGCGGTGCCGTGCTTTGCGAAAGGGGGCTCTGTCCACCCCCGACCCCCCCTCCCTCGAGTGGGGGATCGGCTACATAATCGATTCACCCCAAGATTGATTCCCCCAGCGAGTCTACAACAACATGCGTGGAATGTCCCGCGGATCCCCGGAGCATTCTGCGCCTCCCGTCGACGGAGACGTCCATCCTGTGGCCGCTCGGCCCTGCAGCCGACCCCCTATAGTTCCTCGAGGCCGAGGCCGAGGCGGTCGGCGGGCCGAGGCCGAGGCTCCTCCTCCTCCTCCTCCTCCTCCTCCTCCTCCTCCTCCTCCTCCTCCTCCCCTCCTCCTCCTCCTCCCTCCTCCTCCTCCCCTCCTCCTCCTCCTCCTCCTCCTCCTCCTCCTCCTCCCCCTCCTCCTCCTCCTCCCTCTCCCCCTCCTCCGAGGCCGAGGCCGAGGCTCCCCGAGAGGCCCCGCGCCCGGGCGTGCGCCGCCTCAGGACCGCGGGGCGGAGGCCCAGCTGTCGCAGCTCGCGAGCGCCACGCGGCTCCTGTGCGCCTACGTCCGGGAGCTGCGAGGCCCTCCCCGTGCCGCCCCCCAGCGGCGCCCGGCGCGCCCCCCGCGCGGCGGCGCGCGGTGCTGGCGAGGGCGCCGAGCGGCAGTCCTGGGGCCATCTTTCAACGGGCGAAGGACGGTAGAAAATGAACTTGTTCGCTGTCGGGGGCGCCTGTCCCAGGGCGGCTGGAAAGTTTGTACCCTTACGGTGGCACCGCAGGGGTGTAAACTTTCCAGCCGCCCAGGGGCAGGTGTCTCCGACGGCGGAAAGTTTAGTTTATACCGTTCTTCGCTCGCTGAATCTTGGGAGGCCTCTTGGGCGCTGTGGGGGCGATCTTGGGGTCCTTTCTGGGCCGTCTTGGGTCGTCGGAACGCCGAGGAGAGGCAGGTGCCAAGATCCTGCAGAGCCCTGAGGGAAAGTCAGCGATGTTGGCCTCCTCGGGCCCTCCTGGAGGACCTCTTGGAGGCCTCTCGGGCCGTCTTGGGCCGTCGTGGAGGCTTCTTGGGCGAACTTGGAGGTATCTTGGACCTTCTTGGGCCGTCTGGGAGGCCATCTTGGACCATCTTGGGCGAGCTTGCGGGCCATCTTGGTCGTCTTGGAGGCCATCTTGAGCCGTCTAAGAGAATTGTTTTGCGGATGTTGAGGTCGTTTCAGTTCCTGGAAGAGCTTTCCGGGACCCCGGCGGGACGGGCCGAAACCCCAGGGGGAGTTTTTTTGGAAAAAGAACCACAACCAAAGCCATCATAATCTAGCACGCCAGGCACCCCTGCGATGAATCGACAGGGGGCGGCGGATTAACGATTATAAAGCTCTGCGCACTGCTGCCAAAGGCGCAGCGGGAAATCTCCACGGCTCCGTGGCCCTCCCCGCTGCCAATTCGCGGCTTGCCTCGCCTCGTCTTGGTCTTGCCGGGCGGCTGGGGCCCCTCGCAGCCATGTCTGACCCAGTCCCTTCATGATCCATTCGCCATCGCGCGCTGCCTGCCTCGCTTGCGGTTCTGGCTATGCTCGCCCCCGGCTCCGCCCTGAGCTTGCCGGGCGCCTATCTTCGGCTTCGCCAGCCCAGGGGGGATACTGTCGGCGAAATTAGGTCACCGAACCGTCTGTCTGCGGTCCACTACTTTGGATGTGCCGGCCTCTCCGTGCCTCGAGGCCGCCTCGCGACAGTGTGCGAGCACGGCTGTTCGACGAATGTGGCCTAACCGGAACTCTCGCTGGTGGAATTCTCTGGGTTGGTTCCATTTTGTTGCGCCCAGGCGGGGGCGGACACATCCCGCCCTCCGCTGCAGCCTGCTTGACGTGGGATTAGTTGGCCCCTGGATCTCTGTCCTCAGGGCGCTCGGTCGCGGGGTTCTGGGTCTTGATTCGGGGGTTGCCTCCCCCTACTCGGGCATGCCCTCGGCGGGGCGCGGCTGTCCCCAGGGTCCTTGGTTTGCCCCTGGGCGGGGCACGTTGCGTCCGCCCCAGTGGGCGCGGCAAACTCGCACGAAAGCGTGAGCGTGCGCACTCTTCATCCCCCCCCCCCGTGGGATACCGAGTGCGCCGGGCCTGCCCAGTTCGGAGTCGAAACTGTGTGTGCCGTTTTTGGTTTGTCCCCTCATTTCAGGAATTCCCGCCTCAATACCAGGACGCATCACTACCATCATAGGGGCTGCCGGGGTTCCACTCCCATCAGTACTCCAATCCATGAAGCCGTCATTGGCGCTGGAGGGAGCCGAGGCTTTCCCTACGGTCCCTCGGCCAACGAAGACGGCCGCACGGAGGGGTGCCAACGTACCTCTACAAATCAGACCTTCAAGACCTTAGGGCGCTGATTGCCACCATTCACCGTTTTCCTCTTCACGAACGGCGGGCAGAGGAGGGAGCAGGAAGGACGGAATGAGCAGGAGAAACGGGTGAGGAGTGAGAAGCATCAATGAAGAGCGACGCGCACATGTACGAGCAGGAGACGGAGAGGCGAGGGATAACGAAGGGTATGATGGAGGAGAACGGAGAGAAGGGGTGGTTTGGGATGACTTGAGCACGAGTTGTTTGCCGGATCGGGTCTTGTCCTTGTCCGAGCAGGTCTTTCTCGCGCGCCGCAGCCCGAGTGCTCGCGGCGGGGACTCGCCCCGCTCCTCCACTATCTCTCCAGGTGGTAATCTGAACAGCCTCCCGCTGGACGCAGAGGGCAGATCGTTCCAGCGAAAAGATGCTCGTTTAAGCAAAGAGCTGGTTCATTCAAGCGAAAAAGCAACCAGCGTAAACTACGTAGATGACACAGATCGACACAGAGGGGCACAGAGGGACACAGAGAGGCACAGAGAGACACAGAGGGACATAGAGAGACACAGCGAGTCACAGAGAGACACAGGGGGACACAGGGGGACACAGAGGGACACAGAGGGACACAGAGAGACACAGAGGGACACAGAGGGACATCGAGAGACACAGCGAGTCACAGAGAGACACAGAGGGACACAGAGGGACACAGAGGGACACAGAGGGGCACAGAGAGACACAGAGGGACACAGAGAGACACACAGGGACACTGAGGGACACAGAGGGTCACAGAGGGACACAGAGGCACACAGAGAGACACAGAAGGACACAGAGGGACACAAAGGGGCACAGAGGGACACAAAGGGACACAGAGGGACACAGAGAGGCACAGAGAGACACAGAGGGACACAGAGATACTCAAAGGGGCACAGAGAGACACAGGGGGACACAGAGAGGCACAGAGGGACATAGAGAGACACAGAGGGACACAACGCCACACAAAGGGGCACAGAGAGACACAGAGAGACACAGAGACACAGAGACACAGAGAGACACAGAGGGACACAGAGAGACACAGCGAGACACAGAGGGTCACAGAGAGACACAGAGAGACTTACATGGACACAGAGAGACACAGAGAGACACAGAGAGACGCAGAGAGACACAGAGAAACGCAGAGGGACAGGGGCACAAGGGCACACTGAGAGACACTGAGGGACACTGAGGGACTCCGAGAGACACATAGAAACACAGAGGGACACAGAGAAATACGGAGGGGCACAGAGAAAGACGGAAATACAGAGGGACAGAGAGACACATGGGGACACAGAGGGTCACCCAGGCTGGGCGCAGGACAGAGCTGGGAAAACCAGGATCTCGGGCTTATCGAGACTCGATCTCTCCCTACCATCCCGGCGGTCGCCGCTCGGGGGGGCGGGGGCTCGGGGCGCCCGACAACGCCGGGAACCGGGACCAGGCTCGATCTCTCCAAGATCCCGGTCCCCGCCATCCCGGCGGGTTGCGGGGGCCCGCGGGGGGGCGGGGCGCCGGCCAGCGCCGGGAGCCGCCGGACCGGTCGCCGCTCGTGGGGGCGGGGGCCTGGGGCGCCCGCTCGCGACCGTTTCCTTTCAGGCTCCTCCTCCTCCTCCTCCTCCTCCTCCTCCTCGTCGCCCCCTCTTCTCAGGCCATGGGGTGCACCCGCGAGGCGGGGCGAGGGCCCCCTCCGTGGCCCCCAACGCGCCGCTGGCCCGCGGCATCGCGGGTATGGGTCGCCTCAGGTGCAGCTGGCCGTGCCGGTCTCGTCCAGCCCGGCTGCTCGCGGCACCGGCCGCTTGCCCCTCTTTTGCCCAGGAGAGAAACCAGCCTCGCACAGGATCTGCGGGGGGAGCGTCCGATATCGTGAATCCCAGCAGTTTCCGGTTCCGAGGGCAAGCCTCCTCGGCGTCGGAACCCGCTGGGATTCGCGTCGATTTCTGGCGCTCACGTTTCCCGCGGTCCCGATCTGAACCCGATCCGAGCCCGAATCCGATCCGAGGGGGCGGGGGAGCGGCGGGCGCCGCCCGCCGCCCGCGTGCGCCGCCCGCTCCACGAGTTCAAAGACCGCCCGCCGCAGCCGTCGTCACCGTCAGTCGCCGCCGTCGTCGTCACTCGGCGCCCCGTCTCTCGTTTCCCCCTCCGTTCTCTCCTTCCTTCCGTATCTCGTCTCTCCTTCCTTCCTCTTCCTCCTCCTCCTCCTCCTCCTCCTCCTCCTCCTCCTCCTCCTCCTCCTCCTCCTCCTCCTCCTCCTCCTCCCCCTCCCCCTCCCCCTCCCCCTCCCCCTCCCCTTCGTCCCCTCCCCTGGGCTCTGGGGAATGCGCGCGAAGAAGCTGGCGTCGTCGCCGACTCCCGCCTCGAGGGGGGGGCAAAGGGGGAGAGCGCGGACATGCCCCTCTGGGGGTCCACGGGGGTCTCGTGAAATCCAATATGGGGGTTCCTGAGGCTTGCCGTGGGAAGGGAATGGAGCCTTCCTTCGGCGGCAGTGCAACAGCCTCCCCCCCTTCCCCCCTCCTCCTGCTCCTCCTCCTCCTCTTCCTCCTCGTCCTCCTCCCCTTCCTCTTCTCCTCATTTTTGTCGTCGTCCTCCTCCTCCTCCTCCTCCTCCTCCTCCTCCTCCTCTTCCTCCTCCTCCTCCTCCCTGCCCTCCCCTGGGCGTCTCAAGAGGGGTCGGGCAGGCGCGGGCGTTCCGTGGGAGCGCCGTGGTTTCCTTTGAGGTTTCGCGGGCGCGCCTTAGCTGGCCCCGCTTGCCGCGTTGTTGGAAGTGCTCGAAGCGTCGCGGCCGACCGTGCGTTTGTCTCGTGTGTGGTTTGGGTTGTACGTTGCCTGCCTTTCAGCGTGGCTTTTGGGCATGGGCAAAAATTCGCTCCTGTGGTGTTGGTGCCGTTTTTTTTTTCTGCTCACGCACGACCCCAGGTGCGCGACGCTTGGGCGAGGTGCGCCACGCGTGCCAGGGGCGCCACGCGCGCCAAGCACCCCTGGGGCCGAGCGTGCCGCGCGCGCCTGGTGCGCCTGATGCGCCACGTGCTCCGCGCGCGCCAGGTGTGCCGCACACCCCAGTCGCGCCAGATGCGCCGCGTTCGGGGCACGCGCAGAGTGCGTCAGGTGCGCCTGCGCACGTGACAGCACACATCGGGAAACATGTCGGCCCCCGCCATCCTTCTCGAAAACCGATGCCCATCATTGTGTCTGGTGGGCCTGCGCACAGCAGGCCACGCGCCACCACTCCCGCCGTCCCTGCCAAAAAGCACTTGACAGTGCTCGCGGGATGGCCGCGCATGATCCAGATTTAGCCGCGAGATGCATGTTGCATTGCCTTTTGTCAGGGGTGGTAGCCTTGCGCGCAGCAGGGAATTTGCTGACACCCCAGCCGCCCTTGTCAACAACAATGCAAAATGTTCGCGGGCCTCACGAACATGACCCAAGACTTTGCCCCAAAGTTTACTTTGCATTAATTTTTGGTAGGGATGGTGGAGGGGGGGCCGCATCGGGTTGGCCGCGCATGCTCCAAGTGTGGAGGCAGAGTGCAGTTTGCATAGTTTTTTGACCGGAATGGTGGCGGGGGGGTGGGCATGGTGTCGGCATGGGGTCGGGTTGGCCTTAGTCGCTTGGGGGAGGGGGTCTATACTGATAAGGAACAATGATAAACCCCTCCCGAAAGGGGAAGATGGGGGTTGGAAGAGGAGCCTCTCTAGACAACCTACGCCCAGAGAGCTGGTGGGATTAGCCAGAGCGCGAGCGCAAGGTTTTTTGTTTGTTTGTTTCTTTTTTTCAGATCCAATTGCGAAATAGTTGGTTGTTGAATGTGTTTCCGGGCGCTCGATTTCGAAATCAGGACGAAACCACATTTGTTTTGAATGATTTCGGGATGCGCGCGCGACGACGCGCGCGTGGTCAGTTCGTCTTTTCCTTGCAAGAGGTTATCGAAACAATCTTTGAAGATGGCAGCTATGCGGGCATTATGTCTTTTGCGAGGGATGAAGGGGGTGGGTGTCGAAACCGATTTGGCTGGCGTCATGTGAAAACATATCTAGAACGAACGATGGAGCCGGACCATCTGTAAATTGCACATCCCCAGGGGGACGGATAGATCCGACCTCGGCAGGGTGGTGTATTCCAATTCCTTTCTAGAAAGGAGAACCTTTGTTGCGCAATCTATGTTATGTTTTCAAAGCAAAACAAAACAACGCAAAGCAAATGCAAAGCAAGGTAAGGCAGTGTTAAGTAACGACAACTTAACCACCGAACCGAATTAATCTTTAGAAAATATGTTGGGCAATCTACGTGGTGCAATTCAACGGCGGCAACGAGGCGGCGACGGGGCGGCGACGGCGACAACATATCCGCCAGACCGCCACACCAGCCCAGACGACGGGCGGCGACGAGGCGGCGACGGGGCGGCGACGGCGACAACATAGCCGCCAGACCGCCGCACCAGCCCCGTTCCTTAGAATAAAAATGAGAGGCCCTAGGTGTAAGCACTGTTTTGAACATGTTTGTTCGTGTCAGCGTGGGCATTTTGTCGTCCATGTTGCAAAATGGGTGGCAGGAGGTGGGCGGGGCGCACACTCCGCGCGAAAGGCCGAAATGTCGTTCTCGCCTCGGCGCCGCAATCATTTGCTTTATAGAGAGTCGAGCTTCCGCTGGGGCGCGGCGCAGATGTTTCGAATGCATGTGTTCGGCGACGCGCGAGCGGACGGCAACTGTCGCTCTCGACCTGGCGCTGCGCAGATTTCGCCTGCAAGTGGCCCTCCCGCGTCGGCGCTGCGCGTTTCCTTCCCTCGCCAATTCGCGGGGGCCTGCGCAGGGGGGCGACTTGCCGCCCTCGCCCCGGTTCCATGCGACATGTGCCTCGGGAGTGTTCCCGCGCGGGGGGGGGGGGGGGCCCGCGCGGGAACACTCCCGAGGGGGGGGCCCGCGCTGGTGGGCGACTCGTCGCCCTGGCCCCGGTTCCATGCGCAAATTGCCTCGGGAGCGTTCCTGCGCAGGGCGCGGCGCAGGGCTCGTTCGCCGCAGCGCACGACAGCGACGGCGGCCGCGGGGCCGCGCGCGAGAGCGGGCGAGGCGACGCCCAAGCGCCGCGCAGCGCTTGTGAGCGAAAGCGACCGTGCTGAGTCCACGCGGCGCAGGCTTCGTGCTCTCCGCGCCCCTCGGAAGTTGTGCCGCTCCCGCCCCCCGCGCGGCCCGCGCAGGCCTTCCCTTTGTGTTAAGTCGTCGGAACCAGGGCCGCGCGGGAGCGCCGCCTGTCTGCGAGAGGGGGTCGCGCTCCGATCCGACCTGCCATACTTACCCAGCTGTGCCACAAGTGGTTCGGATGCTGTGGGGGAGGGAGGGTGGGAGTAGGCGGGGCCCTCTGACTTACTCGACCTGGCAAAGTTGATTTATTATCTGTCCCTGCTCTCCTCTAAACCTACTCTCCTCTCCTGTACCCTTACTCTATTCCCCTCGGTTCTAGTCTATTCCAAAAAAACGAACTCTATTATACCATCGAACCTCATCTATCATACTGCGCTCTTCTCTACCGACTACCCTGACCTATTATGTTCTACTCCTACTTTACTCTATTATACCTACTCGATTCTGCCCTCCTCTACTCATCTACTCGTATTTACTCTGCTGTACTCAACTCTACTCATGCATTTGATTATATTTGGACGACTGTAGGGACGCCAACACATAGCCGTAGGAAGCCATTGGAATCGCAGAGGAAGCCATGCGGAGGTAGAGGAAGCAATGCGGATAGCAGAGGAAGCCAAATGCAGAAGAAGCCATGCGGATAGTTTGACGATTGCCGGAAACATAAAGGTGGGCGGTAACGGAGGACCAGTTCTTTTAGGCATTGAGCCAGGACAGGTATAGGCAAGCCTAGTTTGAGAAAACGTGACTCCCATATTGAAAAGTCAAACATCGTTTGATATTTGGAAACGCGACTTCCTGCCAGCGCCCAGACAGGCCTCGGAAGAAATACTCGAACCTCCATGCCACATATATCTGTCAATACCCCCCCCAATGATAAAAGTTGGCATTTGGGTCGAACGCGCTGCACTTCGACCGCAGTCCCCCCCTCGCGTGCCGACTTTGAATCTGGGGGAGCGGGGAAATATCCAACCCTGACATGCGACGACCTGATTTTTTCAGGACTGCGTCCCTGGAAGTCCCGACCCTTTCCCCGGGACCCGTTATTAGTCCCGAGTCGTTCCTTGACGGTCCCGAGGCCCGACGAGGCCCTCCAGGGGCCGAAAATAGCCCCAAAACCTCCCGTCTGATTTTTTCACGGTCGGGGGCGGACAAGAGGGGGGTGATGATTAGGGGGGGGTGGATGTCATGGCGTGGGTCATGATATTTCCCCAGATTTCATGGCGCCTCTTCTTATTTCATTACGTCCCTGACACCCCCGCTGGGCCGCGCACATGCCGCCGGTCATGATTTGCACCCCCCCCTCTTGGACCCCCCCCTCTTGGCCGCTCCCGACACGGCGCGATCATGTCTGGAACTGCTCCCTCCTCTGCTGCACCTGAAGGCCGCCGGCGCCGCTGGTCGGTCGGCCCCTCGGGGCGGGGCGCGCCCAGCGCGCCAGGCCACGCCGGCGTGGCCGGCATGCTGCTGCGCCACGCCCCGCTGCGCTCCGCGGCGCCGTCGCCCGCGCCGGGCTCGCCCCGGTGCCGCGGGGGGGGGCCTCCCGCCTCGCCCCGGGGGGAGGGCCTCCCCAGAGATCCAACGCATTGAAAAAATCAAGACGGCCCTTCTCCTTCTCCTCCTCCTCCTTATTCTCCTCCTCCTCCTCCTCCCTCCGCTCCTCCTCCTCCTCCTCCTCCTCCTCCTCCTCCTCCCACCCTCCTCCTCTCCTCCTCCTCCTCCTCCTCCTCCTCCTCCTCCTCCTCCTCCTCCTCCTCCTCCTCCTCCTCCTCCTCCTCCTCCTCCTCCCCCTGACTCCCCCGTCCCTGACTCCAGATCCTCCCCCTCCCCCTGACTCCCCCGTCCCTGCGAGGCGAGGCGGGTGGCCCTCGGCCCTGACTCCAGATCCGCCCTACTTCTTGGCTTTTTTTCCAAATGAAAATTGCTTCGGAAGTCCACCTATAATAAGCCGAAGAGGTGGGGCGGAAGTTTCTGCACCCAACATACAGTAGGGCGGAAATCCACAGAAGTAGGGCGGAAGCAACAGCAGAAAAGTAGGGCGGAAATTGGCATCAGCGGGGCTTGAAAAGTAAGGCGGAAATTCCAAGCCCTACTTACGAATTTCCCCAAAGTAGGGCGGATCCGGAGTCAGGGGGAGGTTTTTCATACTTTTCGGCCTCAAAAGGGGCCCTCGCCGGGCCCCGGGGCCGTCAAAAAACGACTCAGGATGAAAAACCGGTCCCGGGGAACGGGTCGAGACCTCTGGGTGCCCCGTGTTGAAAAAATCACGACGTCGGATCTCTGGGTCGGAGGCGACGGGCAGGGGCGAATATAGGGGAGCAAGAAGTGACATAAAGATAAAAACTCGGAGGTCCGGGCGGATTTCTCGGGTCGGCGCTGGACCCCCCTCCTTGGCGCGCGGAGCGCGCCAGGGGCGGCGCCGGAGGCGCCGCCGGGAGGCCCCAGCGCCGATCCGAGAAATCCGCGCGGACCTCCGAGTTGTTATGTTTATGCCACTTTTTGTGCCCCTAGAATAGCCCAGGGGGGAGCAATACACGTATCCAGGGGTGCCGATGATCTACGGTGGAAGCGTTTGTTAAGGAACAGTCACAGGAGGCGCCAGACCCTGGAGGATCCCTTGTCCAGTGAGGGCGGCGGTGATATCCATGGCCGATCCACGATTGGAGTTCCACTGGCTTCCCGACCCTGGATTACTTATCCAAGGGTTCCTTATCCAAGGCCCACACCGTATGTCTTCGACAAGGCTCCCGGGCGAATGCGTGTAATGTGGAATGCCCGCCTCTGGGCTATTCGCCCCAATCGTCGCCGCCGAGGGTCGGTGGGGCGAGGAACATGGATCTGTGCCCCACTCGCCTTCAGTCGGGCGTGTCTATCTACAGGAGGACTACTTGGCCCCAACCAAAGTTTCTTCGGAAACGCGAAACAAGAAATATATGTTGGTACAGCCATCGGCGAGATGAGTTGTCGCGCGCGCGTGTTTGGCGCTCGCGCGCGCGCGATCCCAAAATGTCCCCATGGCCACAAAATGGTTCCAGGTGGGCCTGGGGCCACAGACGATGACGTCCAGACGACCGCGGGATGACGCCACCCCAACACGATCCCACCATGGATTCTGGACCGTCCCAGGCCGACTCGACGATGACCAAACACATAAGCCACGAATGACCCCAGAATGGCCCGATAGCAACAAGATGGATCCACGCGCGCCCAGGGTGGCCACATAATGAATACGCAACGGCTGCGCGATCCAAACATGACCAGGATATGATTTCAAAGTGGCCTCAAGACGATCCTGACATGGCAGGAATGCTGCAACTTCGGAGCCCCACCTGACTTCGAACCGATCCCAGCAGGGCGGGATCCGTGAACGACCCGGAATACAAGTGGCACGCGTGCCCTGGCTCTTGCACATTTGAGGAGAGAAAGAGGAGGAGGGGCATGTGGGGGGCGAGAGGGCCAGGGGATGGGGGGCCAGAGCCAGGGGGACGGAACCACGAAACTAAAGGGTCTGGGGCGAGGAGGGCTGGGGCCAAGGCCAGGGTCGGGACGAGTGGGGGTCCAGGGCCAGGGCAGGGGGACTGAAGCTCGGACCAAGGGCCAGAGGTCCGGGTTCGAACCGCGAAAATATACGGTCCGGGGCGAGGGGGGCTGGGCCGAAGGCCAGGGTCGGGGCGAGCGGGGCCAAGGCCAGGAAACAAGCTGAGTTCAGCCAGGGCCAGAGGGCTGGGGCTCGGACCAGGTGCCAGAGGTCCTGGGTTGGGCGAGGGGGCGAGGGGGGGCGGGCCACAGCCAGGGGGGCGGGGGCGAGGGGAAGCTGGCCACAGCCACGGGGACGACGACAAACCACGAGCCACGAACATAAAATCGCCCGGACGTGGGGGGCTGGGGCCAGGGCCAGGGGGCGCTAGAGCCAAGGAGGGAGGCTGGGTTCAGACCAGGGCAGGACGACGGGGGCGAGGGGGCCAGGGGAAGCAGGCCAGAGCCAGGGGGACCTGCAGACCCTCACAGGAACCAGGGAATTTGCAGGGTACCTAGCAATGCCTAGAATTCGCTAAGAGGCCTTCTCAGAAATTTGAGAAATGTAGCACCCCCCCTGCGTTTTTGGACCCTGACCCTCCGGATCTGCATGAGGGGTGCCGCCGAATTTTAGACATGTGGCAAATCCTATGTGTTTTTGGACCCTGACCCTGCCGATTTGCATGATGGGGTGCCAGCGAATTTCAGAAATGTGGCAAATCCTATATGTTTTTGGACCCTGACCACGCCGATCTGCGTGAGGGGTGCCAGCGAATGTCAGAAATGTGGCAAATCCTATATGGTTTTGGACCCTCACCCCGCCGATCTGCATAAGGGGCGCCAGCGAATTTCAGAAATGTGGCAAATCCTATGTGTTTTTGGACCCTGACCCCGCCGATTTGCGTGAGGGGTGCCACCGGATTTCAGAACTATGGCAAATCCCATGTGTTTTTGGACCCTGACCCCGCCGATCTGCGTGAGGGGTGCCATTGGATTTCAGAAATGTGGCAAATCCCATGTGTTTTTGGACCCTGACCCCGCCGATCTGCGTGAGGGGTGTTAATTTTTACCCACCCCAGCAATTCAGAGCACACGCTCAAGGCGTGGTAAAAATGCCCGTTTTGGGCCTCCCCCCCCTCGCGCGGTCCATCAACAAGGAACAGTAAGCAGCAAGAAGCAGAACTGCAACAGTGAAAATTGGAAGCTGCAACTGGCACAGGAAACTGCGAACCTTAGCCCTACAGCCTGGTGGCCCCACAAGGGGGCCGGCGGATTTTGGGGGGTCCCAGGCGACAGCTCCATTTTGAACAAAAAGAGTAGTCGTCTATCTTGTCCAGCGCTGGATCGGACACCACTTTGCGCGGCGCGGAGGCGAGAGCACCGTTTTGAAAGGGAGCCGCCCTCCTCCAGTGACACCAAGTTTGGCTTTAGGGGCGAGAGCACCACTTTGAGAACGACCCCCTCTCCATGTGTGAAGATGCTGCACACGTTTAAGACGAGCGTGCGCGGCGTTTAAGCGGTTGCCTCACATTGAATATAACCTCCCCTTCATCTGCGAAGCGGTTGCAAACTTTTAGTACGAACGTGCGCGGTGTTTAAGCGAGAGCCACCTTTAGAAAACAGAGCCCCCTCCCTCCATCCGTAAAACTGCTGTCAAATTTAAGACGAATGTGCGCAGCGCCAGAGCGAGAGCCGCGTATTGCAAATCAGCCGCCGTCCATCTGTGAAGCGGTCACGAACTGTACGACGTGTCCGCGCAGCGCAAAGGCGAGAGCCACAGTTTGAAAAGGAACCGCTCCGTGTCCGTCAAATTGTTGCACCTGCTAAGACGACTGTGCGCTGCGATCCAGCGAGAGCCACGCTTTCGAAAGCCGCCCGCCCTCCATCCGCGAAGCTGCCGCAGGCTCTTGCGACGAGTGTGTGCGGCGCTGAGGCCAGGGCCACTTTTTGAAAACCATCCCCTCTCCATCCGTGAAGGAGCTGAAACTTTCAAGCTCCAGGACCATACGGTAGATTCGTGTCGCATCGACCGGCGGTGACCTGGCCGGCAGCGTTCAGCTTTGAACGCCGCTGGCGACCTAGAATCGTTCGATGCGGAACGCTTTGGACGTCTCGGAAACGGCCGATCCTTCAATCAGGAGGAGAAAAAGCACACAGACACAATGAATCGTCGATTCCCCAGAAAATATTGGAAAATATGGGCAGTGGGGGGGGGAAGACAGAAACCCAGAAAAGATGGGAAAATTAGGGAATCCTTTTATTTGTGTGTATTTATTTGTGTGTCCCAGGGCCCCTTCATTCGAGGTCGAACGATCCCCGCGGCATCAGACACCAGCGCCGCAGTCGGCGCGACACGAACCTGACGCAGGTGGTGAGGAGGTCATCGGGCGAACCGCCCAGCCCGCCCGACCGACACGCCTGCGGGGGGGCGTCGGGGAGGAGCTGTTTGGAAAGGTGTGGAGGCCGATGGGGGGGGGGAGGGAGGGAGGAGGAAGAAGAGGGATGGGGGAGGAAGGAGGAGTAAGAGCGGGAGGGGGAGGAGGAGGGGGAAGAGGGGAGGGAGGAAGAGGAGGGATGGGGGAGGAAGGAGGAGTAACAGCGGGAGGGGGAGGAGGTGGGGGAAGAGGGGAGGGAGGAAGAGGAGGGAGGGGGAGGAAGGGGGAGTAACAGCGGGAGGGAGAGGAGGAGGGGGAAGAGGGGAGGGAGGAAGAGGAGGGAGGGGGAGTGAGGAGGAGTAACATCAGGCGATCGCAAACATGGATGAAGGGGGCGTGGATTAGCGACGGGTCCAGTTTTCATGGGAAGTCGCGGATTTCCGCCGCCGAACGAGGCAGCAGCGGCCGCATTTTGGGGAGGGCACTTCCCCAGATCCATGGATTAGGCGACCGCGCGCCAAATCCATGGATCGCTAGTACATGTTTGCGCGCGCTCCGATAACAGCGGGAGGAGAAAGAGAGGACGACGACGACGACGACGACGACGATGACGACGGGGCCTGCCCTGGTGTGCGTTCCGGCCAGGAATTCGAAGGGTACCCGGATTGTGGCGACAAGACGTTCCCAGGAGGCCCAAAAAGGTGTGTAGACACCAAAGTCCTCGATCCTCAGATTTGGATCCACGTACCTCGATCGATCGACGACGGTGGCGGTGACTGCGACGCCGCCGACGACGCCGCTGGCGACGACGACGTTGGTTCCCAGACCCCTCCAGGGTCCATCCGAGGCAAGTTTCCAAACTGGGCCAGCCTCTGCCAGCCCTGGGGTCTGGGTCCCCGTTCGCCAGATATTAAGAAAGATCGATGGATCGACGACCGACGACCGATCGATCGTCGATGGATCGATGGATCGATCGACGGATCGATGGATCGATCGACGGATCGCGTTCCCAATCGTTGATGGCGACCGATCGATCGATGGATCGGCGACCGACGACGGCGGTGGCGGCGACGACGGCGGGCGGAGCTCGGCACGCCGGAAATGGAGGAAGAGAGCGAGGAGGATGGAGGAGGAGAGCGAGGAGGATGGAGGAGCGAGGAGTCGGAGGAGGAGGAGGAGGAGGATGGAGGAGGAGGAGGAGGAGGAGGATGGAGGAGGAGAGCGAGGAGTCGGAGGAGGAGGAGGAGGAGGAGGAGGAGGAGGGAGGAGGAGGAGGGAGGATAGAGGATGGAGGATGAGGATCGAGGATCGAGGATGGAGGAGGAGGATCGCGCCCCCCAGGGTTGCCATTCCCCTCCCCTTCTTCCTCGTCGTCGCCGTCGCCGTCGGGCCCGGAGTGTCCCGGAGAGTTTCGCTCCAGATTTGGATTTCGTGTGGATTTGTTTAAGCCAGGAATGAAGACCAAACATAACCCACGCGAAATTCATGTTGTTTTTCGCTCGCCGCTTCGGGCAAAAATCCACGCAGAAGTCCACGCAGAAATCCGCTGCGGCACGTCTGCAAGGCCGGTGCAGTGACCTCTCTCTATCCCCAGGGGGGGGCCTGGTGTGCCCCATTCAGGCAAGGTGCCGAAATACCGAGCAGGTTGGGCTCAGGAGGGGCTGGATGTTCCTCAGGTCCTTCCATGACTGTTCTTCTAGCCTTCCTCGTGCACACAGGCTTTTGTGGTACCAGAAAAGGCCTTCATTCCGTGTCTGGCGTTCCTTATTTCAGCGGTCCGACTGTACGCGCCCTGAGAGGGCCCCAAGATGGCGCAGAGAGGCCCCCCAGACGGCCTCCGAAAGCATCAGGCGGTCCCAGAGGGGACATCTGACCTCAGAGGCACCCAGTGCAGAGGCGGAGGAGGAAAAGGAGGGAGAGGAGGAAGAGTAGGAGGAGGAGGAGGAGGAGGAAAAGGCGGAGGAGGAGGAGGAGGACCAGTGTAAACCAAGATTCATCAACGATGTTGGAATCAACCCTCCCTCCAAACTCTCTCTTGATAGGCACCTGCAAGGATTAATTTTCACTGAGGGAAGTGCCCCGTTGGGAGACAATCGTTTGAAGACCCTGAAGTGTGCCAAAACATCATTCTCGGGATTCGAACGCCACAAATCAATGTCACTGCTACGTCTTCACGATCCAGAATCGCGCCAGGATGCAATTCCTGGGACTTCAACTTCGCACATCAACATAATTGTTGCGCCCTGACAGTCCTAAATCCTTCCAAAACACAATTGCCGATACGTTGGCCATGGGAATAAATGAGACTCTTTTTTATATAAGAAGAAAGACAAATGCGTGCGGCGCTAAGGCGAGAGCCACATCTTGAAAAAGAACCGCCCTCGATCCGTGAAGCTGTTGCATTTGTTCAGACGAATGTGCGCGGCGCTAAGACGAGAGCAACACGTTGAAGATGACCAGCAAGCCGCCCGTGCAGCTCCTGCAAGTTTTCCAGACGAGCGAACGAGCGCGGCGAGAGGGACGTTTTGAGAACGACCCGCCCTCCCTCCGTGAAGCTGTTGCAGTTTTTTGTTAAAAAGCGAATGTGCGCGGCGCTAAGGCGAGAGCCACATTTTGAAGACCATCCGCCCTCCCTCCGAGAAATTACTGTCATTTTGTTAGACGAGTGTAGGCGGCGCTCAGGCGAGAGCCACATTCGGAAAGCGACCTGCCGTCACTCCGCAAAATTCTTGCACCTGTTTTAACAAATGCGCGCGGCGCTAAGGCGAGAGCCACATTGTCTAAGTCACCCGCCCTCCATTTGTGAAGTTCTTGCCAACTTATGAGTTTCAGGATCAGAAGCGGTAAAGACGTCTCTGGCGAAACGCGCGGCCCTCCCTTTCGAACAGCCTCGCGGCGCGACAGGGAGGAGTTATTGATAAGGAGTAGGAATGGAGGAGGAAGAGCAGGAGGAGGAGGAGGACCAGTGTAAACCCAAGAGCCATCAACGATGTTGGAATACGCCCCCCATCAAGCTTCCTCTTCATAGGCCCCACAACGGTTCAGTTCCATTGAAAGATCTGCCTCGTTGGAAGAGAATCTTTGAAGACCCAGAAGCATGCCAAAACACTGTTCTCCGGATTCCAATGCCACGGATCAACCTGACTGTTGCGTCTTGACGATCCTGGATCGTGCCAGAACGCAGTTCTTGGGATTGCAACACCGCGAACCAACGTAATTGTTGCACCCGCGAAATCCTGAATCCTTCCAAAATTTGATCGCGGGGATCCGTGAAACTTTTGCAATTGTTATTATCCTAATAGGCTTGGCCTAGAGGAGTCCTAGCTCAAACCTGGTCCGTTGCCCCCCCCCACCCTTCTAATTCCTATGCCCCCCTATTCCTATGGCTATGCCGCTATGCATATGCCGATGCCTCCCCCTAACTCCTATGCCTACGCCTATGCCTATGCCTATGCCTATGCCTGCTTGCTTGCCTGCTTGCGCGCTTGCACGCTTGCTTGCTTGCGCGCTTGATTGCTTGCGCGCTTGCTTGCACGCTTGCTTGTTTGCTGAGTTGCGGATTTCAAGCATGCTTGATTCCTCTGATCCGTTGACTTGAGTCGTCCGCTCTATTTGGAGTCGACGCTGGCTGATATGAACGAATATGCGCGGAGCTAAGGCGAGAGCCACATTTTGAAAAGGAGCCGCCGTCAATCCATGAAGCTCTTGCAAATATCTATAACGAATGAGCGCGGCGCTAAGGCGAGAGCCACATTTTGAAAGCTGCTTATCCTCAATCCGTGAAGCTCCTGCATTTTTTAACGAATGTGCGCGGCGTTAAGGCGAGAGCCACGTTTTGAAACCGGGTTAACCTCAATCCGTGAAGCTCTTGCAAATCTTAAAGCGAATGTACGCGGCGCTGAAGCGAGAGCCACATTTGGAAATCCACCCGCCCTCCATTTGTGAAGCTGTTTCCAAAGTGTGAGCTTCAGATTCATAAATTGTGAGGGAGTCTCAGGCGAAACGCCCGGCCAACCCTAAAAATTGGCTTCGGGGTGCGACAGGGAGAAGTTATCCATAAGGAATAGGAATGGAGGAGGAGAAGGAGGAGGAGGAGGAGGAGGAGGAGGAAGAGGAGCAGGAGGAGGAGGAGGAAGAGGAGGAGCAGGAGGAGGAGAAGGAAGAGGAGGAGGAGGAGGAGCAGGAAGAGGAGGAGGAGGAGCAGGAGCAGGAGGAGGAGGAGGAGCAGGAGGAGGAAGAGGAGGAAGAAGATGCCCGCGTCCACGTCGGCGCCGTCCTCCTGGCCCTCGGCCGTAGGAGGGAACAGCCGCGGGGCAGGCACCAGGAGGCCGCCCGCGGCAGGAAGGGAGGAGCCTGTTCCCTCGCGGCGGCCGGGTGGGCGGTCCGAGCGCGGGCCTGCCTCGAGGAACCGGAAAGGAGAAGGGGAAGGAGGAGGCGCAGGAGCAGGTCGGGGTATCGAAGAGGGGGGGACCCTGAGGGTGGGTCAGGGAACGAACCCAGCTGGCTACTCACTTCTCCTTCTGACACGCGCCGTTTCGTGCGAGCCTCATCCTGACCCACCTCTGCCCCTAACCCACCTGTGCGCCCCCCCTCCCCGAGCAGGAGGAGGAGGAGGGAGGAGAGGGGGCAAGAGAAGAGGGAGGAGGACTGGGGAGGACGGGGGAGGATGGAGGATGGAGGAGAGAACCTCGGTCGATCGCTCGACGGCGGCGGCGCCGCCGCCGCACACCAGAGGTCCCTGGCGAGTTCGCAGCCACTCCCGTGCCGCGCGCCGCCGGACGGCGGCCTGTCGCGGCAGCTGGAGGTGCGCCCCGCCGCGTTCCATCGCCGATGCCTCGCCGCTGCAGCCCTTCATCCTCCATCCTCCCTCTTCTCCTCCTCTTTCCTCTTTCTCCTCCTCCACCTCCTCCTCCGTTCGTTTTCCTTATAGATAACTCCTCCCTGTCGCACCCCGACGCGGGTCGAAAGGGCGGTCCGGGCGTTTCGCCTGAAATGGCTTTGAGGCCTAAAAACCAGCACCAGTTTCACACATGCAGTGCGGGTGGTTTTCAAAATGTGGCTCTCGCATTCGCGCCGCGCACATTTGCTTTCAAACAATTGTAGGAGTGTCACGAATTGAAGGCGGGCCGTTTTCAACATGCGCCTCTCGCCTTAGCGCCGCGCACGTTCGTTTTAAACAATTGCAAGAGCTTCACGGATTGAGGACAGATGGTTTTCAAAATGTGGCTCTCGGAGTAACGCCGCCGTCTTCAACATCGCAAGAGATTCACGGATTGAGGGCGGGTGGTTTTCAAAATCTGGCTCTTGGAGTAGCGCCGCCGTCTTGAATATTGTAAGAACTTCACGGATTGAGGGCAGGTCGTCTCAACATGTGGCTCCACCTTCAGCGCCGCGCACAATCCGTGAGGGCGGGTCGTTTTCAAAATGTGGTTCTCGCCTTAGCGCCGCACACAGCCGTTTTAAACACAACCATGTGCAATAGTTCCAGTGTTTCTCATGGTTCAGGTACCAGACATGGCATTCTGGAGCGACTCAGGAATGTCAGGGCGCAACAGTTACGTTGATTCGTGGCGTTGAAGTCCCAGCTATGGTGTCCTGGCACGATTCAGGATCCTCAAGGCGTATCAGCCAGGTGATCTCGTGGCGTTGAAATCATGAGAAATGGTGTTTTGGCCCGCTTCAGGGTTTTCACGCGGTTACCCCCCAACGGGGCACTTCCTTCAGTGGACATGAACCCGTGGAGGTGCCTATGAAAAAGGAGCTTGTGGGGAGGGTGTATTCCAACATCGTTGATGAGTCTTGGGTGTACACCGGTCCTCCTCCTCCTCCTTCTCCTCCTCCTCCTCCTCCTCCTCCTCCTCCTCCTCCTCCCTGCAAGGCAAGTAAGTGGGCGCAGGGCAGCCATTCTTCAGTCAGGACAAGGTCATCAAGCAGCTGTAGGAGCAGATGGCGCAACTCAAGGGCAAGAGGTCGTCCCGCGCAAGTGGGTCGCCGTATTGTGAGAAACAAATGCATTGGCAGCCGGCATCGGGGAGGCAGCTCTTCGCCCTCGTACAAGCAGGCGATGGCAGTCACGCGAGACGCGGGCTTCGAGACGGATATTACCGCTGCGGTCGAGGCAACGGAGAAGAAGGCTACGGAGACACGCCCGCCTACTGTTCTGGCGGCCCGCTGGAAGTGCGAGGGTTTCCAAAATAGTATCAGTAAGCTTGAGGAGCGTTCGCAGGAGATCCTTCGCCAGAGGGCCCCAAGTAAGGAACTCGCCGACATCCAAGAGTCCACGGACAGCCTGCGCCAAGACCTCGCCACGGCTGAGGAGACGTTGTGCAAGGCGCAGGCCTCGGAGTCATCCGACTCGATCAAGGTCGTGTGTGCAGGGTTGCCGCCAGGTGTAGTGGAGTGCCAGGAGTGCAGGGACGCGCTCGCTGCCTCCCAGCGTCTCGCCGCAGCGGCGGCAACCGAGAAGAAGGGCGGCACGGCCGGCGGGCCCGCGGCGGGCCCGACGATCCGATGGGAGGAGCAGGAGCGGCAGGGTGAGTACTTGCACCAGCAAGCCCGCAGCCTGATCATCGGTTTCCTGCTGATGTCTTCGATGATGAGGAGCTTCGCTCAGGCATCGAGCGCCTCGTCCAGTTAGGCGGAGCGCAGAACATGGCAAGAAGAATGCTCGAGTTTGACAGGATCGCCGTCGGAGTCGGCGGAGACTGAGCTGAGCGGCCGCCCCTCCGGCCAGCGAAGCCAACGAAGAGGGCTCTGGCACACCAGGGGCGAGTTCAGGGTCGTCGGCCCCGGCGACGTCGTCAAGCGGCCATGCTTTCGCCGCCCCAGGCAAACCTGAGAAACCTGTGCCAGCGCACCCCGCGCGGAGGATTGGCGCCGGGCCCCGCGCGCGGCAACCCGCGCGGGGAAATGTGCAGGAGGGGGGCGCAGAGCGGGCCACGAGCACCAGGTGTTCCGCGCCGACTCCTTCCTCAGGGGGGGTCCCTTGGGGCTGTGGCGGACCCAGCCAGCGCGGCCGGGTCGTTCGGCGTCGTCAGGGACCTCGCCGCCAACGCCCCCGCGGGCGCCCGAGGCGGGCCCAAAAAGTGCTGGTCAGGGCCGCCGTCGCTCGACGGAGCGCGACGCGTGCATCTTTGGAGCCCCGAGCAGCTGGAGCGCGGTGGATGCGGTCGTCAGCCGGGCCAGGGGCCAGGCCTGAGCGGGGCGAGGGGCTCCTCGGGGATGCAGGAGCTGCGGGGCAGGCCATCGCCCCCCTCGAGACCCGGCTCGAAACCACCCGGGGCGCGTCGGTAAGCGCTCAGCAGCGGGGCCATAGGGGCGGGCGCCAGGTCACCTTCGGAAATGCTGACAACACGGGCCGCGTAGAGCTCAGCAGGCGCAGCGGTGGCCAGTCCGAGCGCTCTTGGAGGTTTGGGATTTCAGTGGTCAGATTGTTGGAAGCGCGAAGGGGGGGTCGTAGGTAATTGGAGTCCAGGGCGCTGCTTTCTCGGGTGGCCGGGGGGTCTATCTCGCGCATCTGGTCAACGACAGCGGCGTGTTAGGGCCCTCGCGGCGCGCTGGGCGCAGTCTTCTCGCGCGGCGAAAGGCCGCGGGTAGTGCGGGGGGGCTGGGGCGTCGCCCCCGACGCGTTCGCTTTTTCAGGTTGAGTTGGATTCGTGCGCGGCGCAGTCTCGGCACCCTCGGCAGCGACCTGCGCCCGATGCAACCCGAAGGAGGCTTGGGCCCATGCGCATATAATTGAGCGCGACGCTGGAGGAGGTAGGGCGACCAAATTTCTCGCGTTGTCGCAGTACCTGAGCTGTGGCGCGTGGGGCGTGCAAGTGCTGTCGGACAGCCCGCTCTCCCCGCGCGGCCCTCGTCGCCGCCGTCGTGGTCGTCGTCGTCGTCGTCGTCGCCGCCGCCGCGTCGTCGTCGTCGTCGTCGTCGTCGTCGTCGTCGTCGTCGTCGTCGTCGTCGTCGTCGTCGTCGTCGTCGTCGTATGTCGTCATCGTATGTCGTCGTCGTCGTGGTCGTCGCTGTCGTCGTGGTCGTCGCCGTCGTTGTTGCCGTCGCCGTCGCCGTCGCTGTCGTCGTCGTCGCCGTCGCTGTCGTCGTCGCCGTTGCCGTCGCCGTCGCCATTGTCGTCGCCGTCGCCGTCGTCATCTCCCCGTCGTCGTCGTCGTCGTCGTCGTCGTCGTCGTCGTTGCCGCCGTCGTCGGTGTCGCCTTCGCCATCGCCGTCGCGGTGACGGCGCCGTCGCAGTCGCCGTCGCCGTCGCCGTCGCCGTCGCAGTCGTCGTCGCCGTCGTCGCCGTCGCCGTCGTTGTCGCCGTCGCCGTCGCCGTCGCAATCGCCGTCGCCCCCGTCGCCGTCGCCGTCGTCGCCGTCGCCGTCGCTGCCGCCGACTTCGTCTGATCATGGACCGCCTGGCTCTAGGCCAACAACAACCTCTTCTCCACCAGCCTCCTCCTCCGCCTCCTCCTCCTCCTCCTCATCCTGCTCCTCCTCCTCCTCCTCCTGCGCCCTCCTCCGCCATCTGCCTGCCCCACTCCACCTCGCTCCGTTCCTCCATCCCATCCCCCTCCTTCGCTCCCTCCCTCCTCCCAGGGCGACGGGCGCAAAGCCGTCGTTGCTGCGGTCGCCAATCGATCGATCGATTGATCAGTCGTCGTCGTCGCCGTCGCCGTCGCAGTCGCCGTCGCCGTCGCCGTCGTCGCCGTCGCCGTCGTCGCCGTCGCCGTCGCCGTCGCCGTTGTCGCCGTCGCCATCGCCGTCGTCGTCGTCGTCGTCGTCGTCGTCGTCGATCTCGTCGTCGTCGTCGTCGTCGTCGCCGCCGTCGTCGCCGTCGCCCCCCAGAGATCTTGGGTGGTCTTGGGGTCGCGTTGGGAGCGAAAATGGCCAGGATCGGTTCTGAAAGTGGTCATGGCGAGATGGACAGAAAAGAAGGGCCTGCGAGGAGCGTTTGGAGTTGAAGCTCAGCACGCCAAGCATCGCTGTGATGAATTGACGGGGGTGCGGGTCGAGGATGCCTGCCAGTACGGCGAATCACCGCCGCCTCTTGTCCTGGCAGAAGCGAGAAGTACCCACGGCCGATGACCGATCTACAACTAGCTCGACTTTGGTGGAAGTTTGATTCCCCGAAGAGGTGGGAGCCTCGGGGGTTCTTTTTGAGAGTGTCGTGGGGGCTCTTGTGGGCCCGCTTTGAATCCCGCCTGGCCTGTCTCGAGGGCCTCCTGGGGCCCTCCAGGGCTGTTTTTGGGGTCCTTGTGGGCCGTCTTTGGGCGCTCTTGGGCCGTCCCGCCTCCGTGTCATTCCCTGGCCCCTCTGCCCTGGCCTCGCCGCCTCCCCTGGCCCTGCCCCCCCCCCCCAAACCCGCCCCGGAACGCGCGGCCTCGTCATCCGGGGCCTCCCGCGCCGATCTATCGGCGACGCACATCGCTGACTCCCACAGCTCGCCGATCCATCCTGCCCCCCCCCTGGCCCTGGCCGTCCTCGGCCTCCCTGGTGGCTCCAGCCTCCTGGCCTCCCTTGGCCTCCCCTCCCCTGCCCTGCCCTGGCCGCCCCTGGCCTCCCCTGGCCCTGCCCCCCCCTCCCCCCCCAAAAGGGCTTCGGACTGCTTCATTTTCGTCGTCCTCGCGTCGTCGTCCTCGTCCTCGTCCTCGTCCTCGTCCTCGTGGTCGTCGTCGTCGTCGTCGTCGTCGTCGTCGTCGTCGTCGTCGTCGTCGTCGTCGTCGTCGTCGTCGTCGTCGTCGTGTGGTGTCGTGTGGTGTCGTGTGGTGTCGTGTGGTGTCGTGTCGTGTCGTGTCGTGTCGTGTCGTGTCGTGTCGTGTCGTGTCGTGTCGTGTCGTGTCGTGTCGTGTCGTGTCGTGTCGTGTCGTGTCGTGTCGTCGTGTGGCTGCTGCTGCTGCTGCTGCTTCCGCCCCCGAAGCTGGCCCCCCCCTGGCCATTCCCCTCAAGGCGGGGGGGGGATACGGCAGGAGGCGGTGCCTCCCGCCCCCTCCTCCTGGCCAGTCCGTCCCCCTCTGGAGCAGGAGCTGCGCGCCGAGCTCGAGAGCCAGGACGTGGGGCCCGCGCCCGCGCGGAGGGTCGTCGTCGTCGTCGTCGCCGTCGTCGTCGTCGCCGTCGCCGCCGTCGTCGTCGTCGCCGTCGTCGTCGTCGTCGTCGCCCTCGTCGTTCGCATCCCTGGCCATCTCGGACCTCCCTGACTTATTTGCACCTGGCCCCACGCGATTCTCCTTTCCCTCGCGCCCGCTCGGAGGGTCGTCGTCGCCGTCGTCTCCGTCGCCATCGTCGTCGTCGTCGTCGTCGGTCTTCCACTCTCCCCCTCCTCCTCCTCTTCCTCCTCCTTTTTCTCTTTCTCCTTCTTTCTCATCCACCCCATCTTTCTCCCCCTTCCCCTCCTCCTGAACCCCTCCTGCCCCCCTCCTCCTCCTTCCCCTCCCTCCTCCCCCCCGTCCTCATCCCCCCCTTCCTCCTTCACCCCTCCCCTCTTCCCTTACCCCTAACTCCTCCCCATCTGCCCGTGCCCGCTCCCGCGCGCGCTCTGGTGGTGTTCGCCGTGGTCGTGGTCCACGGTCGTCGTCGTCGTCGTAGGAGCAGGTGGAGGAGAGAGAGCAGGTCGTTGGAGGAGCAGAATGAGCAGCAGCAGCAGCAGTGGAAGGAGGCGGAGGCGGAGGAGGAGGAGGAGGAGGAGGAGGCATGAGCAGAAGGAGTGAGGCGCCGCTTGATGGGCAAGAGGACGAGGAATAGGAGAACGAAGAGGAGGAGGATGAGGAGGAGGAGGAGGAGAAGAAGAGGGGTACCTATATTTTCTGTTATTTCCTGACGGCTGTCGGAAGGGCCTGGTGGTTTCACAGCGCTGCTGCCCCCCATATAAGTTTAACACCAAATAATCGCTGTATATTCAGGACCCTTCTCCGATGCCGCTGTCGAACGGAGTGGGGCGACTGGGACGCATCGTGCCATTGGAGATGCCTCTTCTCTTCCCTCGTGAAGTGAATGCGCCTGCGTGCAGTGCTTCGCGGCATCTCCTTCTCCATCTCCTCTCTTTGAGCATCTCCTCCTTGTCGCACCCCAAGACGTGTCGGTAGGGCGGGCCGGACATTTCGCCTGAGACATGTTCCCCATGTGTGGTCTGGAAGCTTGAAACTTGCAGCAGCTTCACGTGCGGACGCTCGAGGGTGGTTTTCAACATGTGTTTCTCGCATTGGCCCCACGCACACTCGTCTGAAAAACTTGCAGCAGTTTCAAGTGTGGAGAGTGGCTGAAGGTCAAAATGTGGCTCTCGCGTAAGCGCCGCGCACATTCGTTTGAAAAGTTCGCAACCGTGTCAATGATGGACGGCGGTTCCTTTTCAAAATATGGCTCTCGCTAGCGTCGCGCACATTCTTCTAAAACGATCGCGACAGTTTCGAGGGTTCGTATGGTTGAAGTCCCAGGAATGGTGCTCTGACGCGGTTGAGAGTTGTCAGGAGGCGACAGTCACGTTGAGTCGCGGTGTTGAAGTCCCAGGAATGGTGTTCTTGTGCGACTTAGGATTGTCAGGACGCAACAATCACGTTGATCCGCGGCGTTCAAGTCACAGGAATTGTGTT